CATACATATACATGTATATATAAACATATATATATGTTAATTCATATTATACTGATATATATTTAACATATAGAGGCAAACATAATACAAAAGGAAATGAAGTTGTTTTATTTGTTTGTTTGTTTAATTATAATTTGTATTTGCTCATTTATATTTAAATTTGTTTGTTTTATGTATTTACATTTTATATTTATATTTATTATTGATAATAATATATTATATATTATAATATAATAACATTATAATTATATAATTATATTTTTATACAGTAAACACCTCCTTTCTTTCTTATGTATTGCAACGACTGGTGAAAAGGTGAAGAGTTAAATATTTATTTATTTAATACTGTATATTTATTTATTTTTATTTATTTATTTATTTTTATTTATTTATTTATTTTTATTTATTTATTTATTTATTAAAACTATTTAAATGTGTTTGAGGGAACTACTGCATTTGTTTTAATATTTTATATTTCGCTGCAAATCAAAGAAATAATAATACAGAATTGCTGTAGGGGGGCTCTTTGTAGAGCGGAGCTCCTTCTTCTGCATTTGAATTATATATTTAAATTATTTAAATATTTATTTAATTAAAAAAATAAATATAATTATAAAAAAAGAAGAAAAGCGGCGTCTATCAACCCATGTGGGGCTCTCGAGCTGTACAGGGAGCCAGCGCGAGTGTTGGGGGTAAAAAGACAAAAAAGTTTAAATATTTTGGGGTAATTAAATGAAAATAATTAAATCAAATTAAATTATTTATTAATTTTCGCTGCTTTTTATATTTAAATGCACAGAAGCCTTCAAAGCTGCAACTTACATATTGATATGATGGGGCTTTGATATAGCTTGCTTACTTTTAACTGTGTTTTCTTCTGGTAGCGAAAGAAAGAAGATAAAAAATATATTTTTAACAATAATAATTAAATATTTATTTTATTTTGCTTTCAAACAGCTGTATATACACCGGAGATCAGCGGGGCTTGCTTGCTGCGTGTTGCCGCCGCAGAGCGAGGCTATAGGGTTTAGGGTTTAGGGTTTAGGGTTTTACACTTATATTGTTTATTTCTTGAGTATCTATTTCTTAATTTTGCTGCTTTGTTGTGTATATCTTTGCTAGGAGCCCGTATCTCTGCTTTCATCTTCTTTCATCTGTCTATGTTGATGTCTGTCTTCACGAAGAAGTTTATTTATTGTTTTATGTATTATTATTACTTCATCGTATATCTTTATTTGCATTATCCAGCAGCAGGGGCCCCCCTTCTTTGCTGCTGATTGTAGCCCCCTTCTTCTCTCTTCTTTTGCTTCGAGCTGCATTTATATCCGCATTAACATCATCAATACTGGGGACCCTCTTCCTGCAGCAGCAGCAGCAACAGCAACAGCAACAGCAGCAGCAGCAGCAGCAGCAACAGCAACAGCAGCAAGAGCAGCCGAAGAAGAAGAAGACGCTTTTCCTGACTCTCCTTCTGCTTCAATATAAACCCAAGGGGGGGGCCCCCATTTCAAGCGGGGCCCCCCCCTTAAACATATGGAAGGTGAACTCCCTGGGGGCCCTCTGGGGCCCCCCCTATCATCTGGGGGCCCCCATGGGGCCCCCCCAGTTACTACAGGGGCCCTCAGGGGCCCCCCAAATATAATAGGGCCCATTAGAGGTCCTGCAACACCTGATAAACCCGAGGAGGGCCCCCTTGGGGGCCCCACACCCTTGGGGGCCCCCTTTAGGGGCCCCCCACCGAATGGGGGCCCCATTGGGGGCCCCCTACCTAATGGGGGCCCCGTTGGGGGCCCCCCATTAAATGGGGGCCCTA